AACCCTAATTTCAAAAGTGAAGGGACAACATTATCAAATGACCACCACACTTCACATGTAGAGTCTAACCCCATGATCGTGCAACAAGAGTCCACCCAATAGAGCATTCAAGCCAACTCTACATGGGGAGAAACTAATTCTGAATGGAGAATAGGTGGAGCCAACCAGCATTCCCAAATTTGTCCCAGTCAGGAAGTGTTTCAAGTGTCATAATTCGAGCATATGGAATCAAAATGCACAAACAAGAGAATATTTTCTTCACTTATCAGGGAGTAACTGAAAAAATAAATATTAAACCAGGAAAAGATGAAGTTTTTAGAGAGGATTCTCAACTTCCAACCAACGAGGTAGAGACACCGACGATTCCAGTTGACCCCATGAGAGCTACTCCAACTGAATTAATAGTAGTTATTATACAAGGGAGTGAGTCCAAGGTAATTGCATTTTGTAGTTATTATACAAGGGAGTGAGTCCAAGGTAATTGCATTTTTGTAGAGTATGAAATTGTGATCTCTCGAACTATCATTTTGTAGGAATTGAGAGGAGCGTCAACATGGCTGACATTGGAAATCCAAAAGAGTCATGAGTTTGAGGAACCGATACTAGACACTGAGCAACCTTAGGTAAGAGGATTTCAGACTTTTCAGGTATATTGTCTACTTTCTGAGTTGCCCATACTGAGAGAGGTCCAATATGTCAAGGATGAGACTCTTTTGTGTTACATAGTGTCATCTGAGTAGTACAATTAGTTCAGCAGTGTACCTACCGACAGATGATCGGACCGGATGGATGAACTACAATGTGGGAAATCACCTTAAGATCTTTTTGGGGAATGACATCCTATAATGGGATTTAGGTCTTACCAGAGAAGAAGATACCTCTCCTTACATACTTGTTTACCATATACACTCAGATGAGTACGAGTGAAAAAAATCAATTACAGATTTGATTGCTCAAGGCTTAGTTTGTGTAGATATTCATCCTCATGCAACTACAACTCATGTTGTGCCAAATAGGATGAGTATTTATTCTATCAGGACATACTTTAGCATAACAACACTTATAGGCTCGACTTACCGGTAGATTACAATGTACCCATCACCTTCAATGAGGCCGACCTAATGCAGAGCGCAAGTTATTGCAGTAACATTATCGCGGTTTTGAATACCACGATCCGCGGCTTGTGCTGACGCGGGTTCACATTGCCGAATTGCTTTTTTTATGTTATATTTTATTTTTTAGCATATTTTCAGCTTTTGTTTCCTTTCTTTATAGTCTTTTTTTCATATATGTGTTGTATTAGAATTTAAAGGGTTAGTTTTTGCTTGTGTTTTTGTTAGGACACCCATCAGCGTCTCAGTTTTTCTCTTCTAGGGTTGTATCCAAGGTCGAGTGGTGCTCCGACTATATTTTGTTCCGAGGTGGTTTTTCGCTGCTAAGGGCCGAGTGGTGCTCTCGCTGTATCTCGGTCCGGAGGGGTAGTTATCTCGACTTGCCTTGCCCACGCATCCATCTCTTCACTACCGCCACTGTTCCCCCGCTTGCCTCGCTGTTTAGACTGCTTCCCAACCTTCCATAATGTTGCTGCCATCCGATAACAGCACACCTGCTATTTTCTTGTTGTACCGCCGCAGCCTACTTGTTGCCACTCCCCGAAACCGGCTCCAGTTTTACTTCATCCCAATGGCCACGGGACAGCAGCCCACTGCTGTTCCAGCTTTCCCAGCCACTCCTTGGTTGTTGCTGATCTGAACAACCCTTTCACATCGATTGTGGCAGCTTGTTTGCTTTACGGAACCTAGGAAACAGTCTCCATGCTATTTCTGCTTTCCAACCACTATTTTCCACTTCTCATTCCCTCACCAACCATCCCCTCCCCTAGTTGCGTCTGTTGCTATTTCTATTTCTGTTTTTGAATTCAATAATGATATTTTAGTCTTCTATCACTGTTAAGTTAATTCCAGTATCGTTAAGATTTGTTTAACTACTCAAATTAGTGAATTTATAGGTTTCAACTTTTTCTCGCTTAGCTCAAGAATTCTTCATTGTTTATGATCTTGGAATGTTTCTTATAGACGTGTTTTGACTTTTGTTTTGGCCATGAAATTTTCAAGCTTGGTTATTTTGCCCGTTATGGAGTTGGGGATGTGCAGGATTATCTTTTAACTATTTTGACGTATTTTCCTCATAATCAAATATCCATGTTCAACTAAAATGATGAATGATTTGCTCTAATGATGATCAAATTCCTACCCCAAACTTTTATTATCGAAATGAGATCAACTTTGATGCATGGCTTTTAATGATGATCTAAAACCTCCTTTTCTTTGATGCACAGCTTAGACTTTAAGTTATTTGGAAGATTACATAACGATTAAGATGCGATTATGGGAAAGAAAAAACAAATTTGGATTAAGATGCGATTATGGGAAAGAAAAAACAAATTAGTTTTATATAGATAAACGGGAAATGGATTGGAATACGGTGAGGATGAGATCCATAGATCAATTTGTTTGAAGTTTCACATATATGAGGAATAAAGATTTTCAAAAGATTTATATATTTTGATTTATGATTCACCCTGGACTTTTATCATTTCCATTGAATGGAGTACAATTTCATGATAACAAATGTAAATTCAGATTGTGATTCTAATGAGTTTATATAAACTGAAGTAGCGCGGTGAATGTTGTTGATTGTTATTTGGTAGGTCCAAATCATGATGGACAAGCAATCCTCTTGTCCTGGGAATTTTTGCTTTCAAATTTATTGGCCAAGGCATATGGCTATAATCGAGTCAAGCGTACCATGGGGCTTTGCTTGGCTATTTAATAGGAAGATTTGCTTACATACCACTCAATTCTTATGTATTTACATATGTAACACCTAAACTTCAACTTTTACATACATATTACTTATCTATGCATGAATATGTGTATTTATCTTTTTAAAAGTTAAAATGGTGGTATTTTAACGTGATGTGAAAGATTTGAGTGGTATATATATGAAAATTAAAATACAGGTGTTAACTATTTAAAAGCATAGAAATCTGGTGGCATGCATGCAAATGCCCCTATATATCAAGTCGTTCATGTTTGGCATGTGCTTGAACCAAGCTTTCATGTATATGCTCATTCTTGATTTGTTTAGAACAATTAATAATTGAGCTTGCTTTGTACTTGGGTTGCCAAGATTAATCGGACGAGTACTTAAATGAGTTAATAGTCAAACTCGTAAACAAATGATTATTAAATGAATTTTCATGTATTTTATCATATGAACAAATAAATTTAGCTGTCTAAATAATCACGCAATTTAATAAATTTGGAGATAGTATCGTACTATTTGTCATAAGTTAAACAAGCTTCAACTAAACATGATGATAGTATGAATAGAAGGAACTGAGAATGGAGAAATTTCAGAGGTTTGAGGGCCATTACAATGTCTAAAATAGTAGGATTAAAAACATGGACATGTGGGATGTGGGATGTGGGTTGTGATGGGCTGATGGATGTGTATCATAGAAGATGCATTGAGGACTAAGTTGAGCACTCACGAATAGTGTTCACTGTCCCATAGACTGGAGGAGAGATATGTTCACCTTCAAATGCTTTGATTTTTAGTGTAATCCTAACACATGTTTATGTTTTCCCAACTTTAATGACCTCGAACGAACAAACTATGGAGATTGAAAGTGACAATTACAAATGATATGTCAAAAATTTAAAAAAGAGTAGAAAGTAACCTAATCTTATAAATAAGTATAAAATGTGTCAGTATTAAATAAGTATTTAAATAAGTTGGATTTTAAAAAATAATTATGCAATATAGCATCCATTATCGAATCTAATATCAAAACTTTAACATGTTTCTTGTTGAACAACAAATGATTTGTCAAAACTTTAACATGTTTCTTGTTGAACAACAAATAATTTGTTTGTTTCAATTTTGTTTCATTTAACTTGTGAGGTTAAAAAAAATGTTCAAAAATTTCAATTTCTTATTTAAATGGAATGAATAATAAACGAGCTAGCTTCCGACTTTTTATCAGGTGCACGTCTCCACTGATGGGTGAGTATAGTTAAAATTTGAACCGAAGTAATTTATTCTTTTCTGAATTTTTTTGTATAGAATCATTTTAACCTGATTAGCTGACCCTGAATTCATCACATTTAAACGAGTTAATTTCTCTTCTATTCAGTTAAAACAATTTTGAGATTCAAAATTTTCTCTTTTAATAGCTATGAAGCATAAAACTAATTCTAGAAATAGACAACATGAATATGAAGATTCGACAAAATATAAACAAGCAGGTCACAACATGGCATGTGCACGATATTCTTATAAATTAGCAATTTAAAAGGTAAAATCAAAACAACTCATGTCAATATCTTCATTCACATAATAAAATTATAATAGATATGCATCACTTAAAATATTGAAGGACCAATAACAAAAAAAATTAACATTAGCTTAACTACAATTATATTTCAATATTTAATCAAGTGTGTTTAACTATAAGAACATGCTACATTAATCTTAATCATAAGTTATGATTTTGTCAATATGACCGTTGTAATGTCAATATAAAATGCCAAAAAAAAGGAGTATATAATCTTTTTCCTGAACAAAAACTTTGCTGAATTAAAAACAACTTGTGCTTCCCATTCATATTTTGTATATGCTTTAGGTTGATATTGTAGTGGCCTTTTGGAACATTAATCCTAGCACATTATTTTTTGGAACATTAATCCTAGCACATTATTTTGTTTGGACCCTTCTATTTTTTATATCAAATTAAGTGTTTCCTATATCAGAACTCGGGTGCGTGAAGCCTGCGAACAGTTTGCAATATAATTTTGTGTTCATTCTTACTTTGTATGTTATCAAGCTACTTTTTGTTCGTTTGTTTGTTTTTTGGCTTTCAGGATTAGTTGTAAACTTTCACTCAGACATTCTTTTTTTCATATCTAATTATTAATTATTCTCACTTTGTATAGGAGCGCCATTTTTCATTACTCCAGCGTGAAACCGAAAAGCTCAAGGTGGACATCGAAAAGATGCGTGGCGAGCTTAGTTTGGTTTTTTTTTTTTTTTTTTTTTTTCCTTAAACTTGAATTTATTCTCTGAACTGTTTTGCCTGATCATACCTTCTATTTATGATCCATCTTCAACAGGTATGAGATTGACAAGGTTACTTCAGGACAACGCTTAGATCTAAACCTTGAAAGAGGGTATGTGTAACTGAGTACTTTGAATTTTTTTTTATAGGCATTTACATATATGCCACCTAATTCCTATGTATTTACATATCTAACACTAAAACGTTCTTTTTACATTTTTTATCACTTAAATCTTTCATATCACAGACAAAAATAACACTATTTAACTTTTAGAAAGCGAAATGCTCCTTTTAATTAATGTGAAAATTGGAGTTTAGATGCTAGATATGTAAGTACACAAGAATTGGGTGGCATGTATGTAAATCTTCGTTTATTTTATTTCTAATTTAGTAAAATATGATTTTCTTTTACTCATATAATCCTTTGCAAACTTATCATCATTTTATTTGGTAGTTCTGTGTTGTGGATGTGTGGTGTTATGCTGCGTGAAATAAAACATCGTTCTATCATATAAATTTGTTCTTTGTGCTCTTATAGTAACGAAGGACTACACGTATGTGATTGGAATTTTCAATGCATATTGTTCACACAAGTTACTTTTGGATAAACAAAATAAGAGAAAATCGACCTAACAAAGTTGTGTGCTCATCTTAAATCGGGGAAAAATTTATGCTTTAATGTTTCCTGACAGATAAAACTTGATAATAAAAAATAGACATCCTTTTTTTTTTCTTGTAGGTCTACAAATGAACCAAGCGAGCCAAGCAGATGTTGTTGGCTCGAGCTCATTCATTACTAACTTATTTGATCTTGTTTTGAGCTCATTTATAGGTTTTAGGACTCTGTTCGGGTTCAAACTCGTTTATAAGTACCATGTTTGAGCTTGACTCGAGCTCGCTCAATTTGAGCTCGGTTTACATACAGCCTTATCAAGCTTATTTATGAACAGCTTGCTTAATAAAATAAACAAGCCCTCATTGAGTTTTAATTGAGCCTCACTTAAGCTCTATATGAGCAGCTTGTTGAGAAAAATAAAAAAACATATTAAACAATGATCGTCGAGCATAAAAATAAACATTTAAACAATATTTTTCATGAACGAGTTAGAATAGCGTCACTTGAGAGCTTGTTCACGAACTTGTTCACTTGTTTTAAATAATATTTCAAAAGAAGTGTGGGCTTCAAAATTGGTTCTTTTTTTTATATATTTTTATTTGGCTGACTAATGCAGGCGATTGCGTGATGAGCTTACAAAGCAATGCAGTGAAACAGCCAACCTCACTAATAAGCTTGATGGAGTGAGTGAAAATGAACTTATATATATAATTATATGTATTGTTTGCTTATAAATTTTTATTTTCAAAATGGCATTCTTTTCAGGAAATTCATGGTCTAAGAGCTAAATTGGAGGCTGCTAAATATGAGGTTATCAAGTATTGCGTTGGCACCTTGGTTTCATTATCTGCAGTTGGTCTGGCTATTATCCGGTTATTGATGTAGAAACAGTTTTTTTTTTTTCAGAGTTTTGAAAATTAGATATAAGAATATTAGAAGCAAGATATGAATATGATGTTTCAATATTGTCATTCTTTTGGGGTGTATGGATGTCAGAAGGGGTCAATTGTAATTTTTTTTTTTTTTTTGCATTGCTTAGCTTTGTTTAGCTGGGGGTTGATTGTTAAATCCAATTGTGAATTACTTTGAATTTTGGATTTGGATAATTGACTTGTAAATTCTGTTAAAATAGAATTTTGGATTTGGATAATTGACTTGTAAATTCTGTAAGAATAGGCCCTGCTTATTGGACAAAATGTGTACACTCTTTAATTACCTACATACTGCACAATTCTTTTTTTTGCATTTAAAAGTTCAATTTACATTTATAACATTGATGCATAACCCATGAACATGAATTCTCAAGTCTACAAATGCTTTCTAAATTTCTATTTTTTTCTTTTAGAGTAGGTGAAAACAAAAATAATCTTCTCTCATTGGTTGATTGTAAATGAAAAACACATCTTTTGTTTTCACTTGTTTTGATTATAAAAGAAATAATTTTTAAGAAATTTAGAGAACACCCTATATTGCCTATCAAACACATATCAAATTTTATACTACTCGTCTCCTTCCGTCGAAGAAATATTACATCAGGACTCCAGAGGGACAATTTCTTGCGGAGTTCAATAAGAGGAATCCAACTGGAATGTGGGTCCCACTGTGCAAAGAAAATTAAAAAAAAAAGCTCATTTAACGTGACCCGACTTGAATCGTCGGCCCCAGCAGATCCCGGCTTGAATCTATACATATAATTAAGTTATAAATATATATGTATTAAATTGTATGTAACGAACAGTTAATAACATTATAATAATGAGGTTTAAATCGTTTATAACACGTGAAATTTGAAAATGAACTGTTAAATCGCCATATAACACGATTAAAATCGCCTATAACACGTGATTTTTGAAAAATAATGCGTTAAATTTACAACATAACACACGAAATAATCCGCTAGACCACGAGTTAAAACGATGAGAATATTCCGAACGTGTTATACCACGGACTAGGGGAGTTATAAGGCGGTTGTATAACACGTAGGGCGGCGTTATAACCCAAGGTATAACACAAACGAAATATTTCTCATGTGTTATATCGCGGGTTAGGAAAGTGTATAATTGCGTTATTAGTGTGTTATTGGTTTCATACTATTGTTATTATATTGTTATTAGTGTGTTATAAAACAAAAATAATTTATTTAGATGTTATAATTTATATTTATTAATAATTTATATAAACATAGATGTATAAACACAAAAACCCGAAAAAATATTTATTCCAAAGAAGTAATAATTTTTCCAGCTGGCGAGACCCTCATCCCGTCAAAATCCACAGTGATCGTTCGTAAGCTAACCGCCGGCCTCGAAAGCCAGGGAGGAAACTCCTTCAACAGGGACAGAAATGTTCATATTTGAGTCTGTTGACTCGAAAACCAAGCAATAGGCTACGGCCATGTTGTTCATCTTCAACAGAGACGCCGTCGGCTGCGGCATTGTTGTCCATCTTCAACAACGACGCCGCCGGTCGTTTTTCTTCTTCCCCGGGGAGTAAAGTTGTTCTTCTTCTGAACCAGGGATGAAGGTGTTCGCATGTGATGCTGTTGCCTCGAAAGCCAAGCAATATGTCGCGACCTTGCTCCTCATCTTTAACAGAGGCGCCAATAAACAGGTTTAGTCTGCATTTTAATCAGTATTTTAGTATGCACTTCAATTCCTACCTCCCGGGACCCTCAGTCTATAGGAATTTTTAAAGGTGGAATATGACATGGAAGAACATTAGGGGCGAGAACATTTAGGGCAGAACATTTACCTATAGTTTGGCCGAAAAATTTAACACATCATTAACACAAGTGCTGCCAAGCTGAAAAGATGCATTTACATGCGTACTCCCCAAATCATGCATAAGTAAGGTGTTATGTATGTAAAAAATTGAGGTTTAGTTGTTATACATATGAATAAATTGAGTGTATGTGTGTAAATTTTCCAAATTTTTGTGGTGCAAGGAAGGAGAAAAAGTAAGACATAACAGTGTACTTTGACATGGCTTCCAAGAAAAAAAAAATTTGGATGCAATATCTATGAAGAACTATAGTTGTGATGTTTTACATCTTCTGTGCACCTATTGATATCATGGAGACATGATTTGCTTTCACAACCACTCTTACTCCCTTCCAAGCACAAATTCTGATGTAATTTATTTTTTGTCATTGCAACTTTTTTAGAAATGGATTTAATGGATGTAAATGTGAGCAACTTCATTATTTATAAATTTGGTGGATATTAGATCAAAATTAAAAGTCAAAATAGAAGAAAGTACGAAGGTGTGAATCAGAGGACCGTGGAACTGGAGAATGACAAAATTAAATGTTTTGTACTTAGAGAAGAGGCAAAATAGATTTGTCTATGGCTAAAAGGTCATGATTTTGAATTGCGCTGCCATGTATGCAATACTTCACCTAAAATCCACAAGCCAATAGTAACTGATGTTGATATATTGGAAATGATCAATCATTCTAATGGATAAAGTAAAGTAGGTGGTGATTATAGAACAAATAGCATTAAAGATCTTATGTATTTGCTTAATAGAGAGAGTGAGAATAACAGTCAGGTGTTGGAGTTGTGTCATTCAACATTTGATGGTGAAGGCAATAGTAACAATGCATTTGAAGTTTTTGATGATGTTATTTTATATCTGAAAGTGGAGATAACAAATCCTTATCAGTGACTCACTTTTTCAGGATTCTACTACTGTCAAGCAAGCCATTGACACTAAAGAAAATTTGAATGATTTTGCAAAGAAGATTAAAGCTAGTGACAAAAGTTGAATTATAGTCATTTCTGCACTTTGAGGATGTCCTTGAAGGGTACGTGCATCAGTGTGTTCGGATGGTCATTCGTTCAAATTGAATAGAGTAGATGCCACATATTTATGCCCTGGAATCAAGAGAGTAGAGAATAGAAGTGTCACTATTAACTGAGTAGCTAATGAGATATAATATTTAGTAAAATAATCCAGGCATTCCTCAAAATATTATCAAAAACAACTTTGAAACCAGCTATGTGTTATCATTACCGTACATAAAATTATGGCGTTCAAGCGAACAAGCAAGAAACTTCATATTTGGCTCAATAGATGATAATTATAGGTGGGTGTCTACTATTATATCATAGCTTATCAACAGAAACCCGTGTTCTCACATAATACATACATGTGACAATCATGATAACAACTTTAAGGGGTTTATGTAAGCTATAAGGTTTGGAGTGATGAGTGTTTTGTCGACTGTAGATATTTGATTGCACTTGATGCTTATCACCTTAAATCTAAATACTTAATGAGCGCTTTTATCTACAATATTTCTTTATGGAAAGAATGGAATTTTCCTTATTGTCTTTGCAATTGTGGAATCTGAGCACAGAGTATGCCTACCGTATTTATGGAAGAATTTGAAAAAGTTATTCCACTGTAATGATGGCCATGTACTGAAAAGTTTAGTGTTGACTATTGCAAATGCATACACCAAAAAAGAGAACGATGTTAAGCTTAAAGGGATATTCAAAATCAGTCATACAATGCATTCTTATTTGACTTTGTTACTATACAAACGGTCAAAATCCGACTTCTTGATAGATATAGTCATTTTAACACAAACAATATGGCGGCATCTTTTAATTCTTAAATTTTAGAGTCCCGAAGTAAACCGATTGTTGATTTGATTGATATGCTTATGTTTAAGATCATGGAGCAACGTGCACAAAGTTAAGTTTAACTAGCTGGAAAGGAGAATTAGTGCTCCATGTTGAATGATATATTAGGGAGATTACAACAAGCAAAATGACATTCATGATTAGACCGTCAAAACAAACAAAAGTTAAGGTTGGAGACACTTGAACGATAAGATGATGACATCAAAAAAATGAATGTAGTTGTAGAGTTTGACAGTTAACTAGTCTAGCTTACATCCATCATCCAAGCAAAAGCAGTTAGTGGATCCAAACAACATCCATTATGGCACGCTATGTAGATGAGCATTAGCAAGTGAAAAGGTAATTATGTGCTAACATATAATCTTATATTCATTATTTCTATGACTTCATTTAAATTTTTTTAGCAGATATAAAATGGCTTATAAGGTACAATATCAACACTTCCGGGGAAAGGCCAATAGAATTTTGTTAATGTTGATATGCAGGTCGAGATTCCAAATTGTTTAAGGCCACGAGGTTGGCCACAAAAATAAATGTTTAAAATATTTCCTGAAAGCACATCAAAGAGAGCAAAAAATTGCTCACAAATGTAGTTTTTGCAGAGATTGGGATCACCATAGGAGTACCTGCAAGAACCTAATACACTCATAAATATCAAATGTTGAGCAAGACGTACACTACGAATCTAATATAGGTGCTTAAAGGAGGGCTCAGGCTAAGTTTCCAGTAAGGCGAATAGAATAGTTCACAATACATAACATATCTCTTACTTTTAGTTGATTACTTTTGTTTCAACTGATTTCTGTACTACCATAGTCACAATTATTTTGTGCTAACATGCTATCACTTTTTATCACATTTTTTTTTTTTTTTTTTTTTTTTTTTTGTTACTAGGAGTCATTTACTAGGTAGATAAGTTTATTTCCTAATCTTTCATGCTGAAGTTCTTAGAAGAATATGATCCCTATTTCTGATGGTAAAAGATTTCTAATAGTGCCCAAGCATTATTAAATGTTGCAACTCTGGTATTTTCCATCTATGGGGAAAGATTTGTACTTTCAAGCAGTTTTCCTAATGTGGCTAAATTTAAAGTTGGTTTTTTTGGTCTTACTGATGGGGTGGTATTGCTGCTCTTTATCGCTGTAGGAATTGGGAAGCTTTTGTAGCTACAGTCAATGTCACAGATGTTGGATTCCTTTCCTTCTAAATGATGTGCCTTATTTTCTCAATTTGAGGATCTTATAGCAGAGTTAAAGGAGCTATTGAGGAGGTCGGCTCCAAAAAGCAGGCAACGACTTGTGATTTTGTTAGTAAAAGGGAAATCTACATACACATGATACAATTTGTATGTATTTACATATCTAACTCTTAAATTTTCATATTTATGACACTTTCATGCCATAGAATAATGCATGAAAAGGTGTATTTCACTTCTAAAAGGGAAATATTTAATTCCTGGATGTTTTACATGTAACAATGCTTCATTTTCTTCTCACTGGAGGATTTTATGTGTAGAAAGTTCCAATCTGCATGAAATGGCTGATATATACATGAGTAGCTTTCTATTGCTTCAGGGCTTAATGTGTAGAAACTTTCTACAGAGCTTTATCACATAACCATGAAACTAATGACAGTAGAAGCTTAGGTAGAATGGCAGGATAGTATAATGACAAGCATTGCAGTGCAGGATTTTAGCTTATGCACCACTGTGGTAATGCCCCTAAGTATATTAAAGTGCTTGTTAATTAAAGTCATGTGCTTATCTGATCAAGATTTTTGGATGTCTTGCATACATACGCTGATTTGGCTTGGCCACCATTATGGTATGCATGTAAATTAAAGTAATTTTCTTATTAAAGTATATTTTTGGTCATTCCTTTTTTTGAAGTGCTTTTGTTTCTTTAGTTTCTGGTAGTTTTTAGGAATTCAAATATTTGCTGTTTTTTCAATCATATTTCATCCTTTCTTTTGTTTAATGTTGGTTTCCCTAATTTTGTTTTACTTGCATTGATGTATCCAATTTATGTTTTTTGCTTTTTCTGAAACCATAATTTGTTGCTCTATATTTTGTTCAAAATTTATTTTTGATCCCACATTTTAAAGCTATTTATCATGCTACATTTTCCAAACACAGCTATGAATTTGCACTTGTGATTATTTTCATCTTTCAGGAATAGCCACTTAGGGCCCGTTTGGGGCCGCTTTTTTCGTGCGGCGCAGCCCCAAACCACATCGCGATCGAAGTATTCGGCGTAGTTTGATGCATCTCTTTTTGATACATGCTGAACACACTCTAATAATATGGTCACCATGCTCTTATAATGCCCTAATTTACAATTACTTTCTTGTGAGGCATGTTAAGTGTTTCATCTTTAACTGACTTGAAGCCCTCTTTGACACAACAAAGACATTTCTTAGGGATGAAATTGAAAATCTTAAGGCACTCTTATCTTCATTAGATTGGAAAATTTATCTCGTCTTTACATCCGTTAATTTATTTATACCAGTATTTACTCTTATGTTCATATTTCTTCTTTTTGCACAATTCTGATTTTAACAACTATCATGTTATAAGCTTATCTTGTCCTATATTTTCAAGGTTTGCAATGATTAACAATGTATTTCCAAATATGATTTCATTGGGTGTCCACTCCAATCTGCACTGGCTAGACATTACAGATAACTTGCTAAGTGGAACTCTATTAATCTCAATACATAAGACTCCTGGACCGGACCCGCTTCGACACACTTGTATTCCTTTTTTCTGGAAATGAATTAACTAATTATATACCGAGATGAAGTTTTTATGTTTGATTCATTCCTTATATAATTGGTTTGAAATGTTCTTTCAAAAAATGATTTCTAATGTTTCAAGAGAAGTATATTTTAAAAAACTGCGACAGTTTCTAGTGTCTTCTATTAAGTTCTAAGCGATGTCTCCAATTATTTCAGCCTTTTGTTTTACCAAATTTTTTATCTTCTCATACTTATTTCAGGTTTTTCTTTTTCTTGTTTTTGATGTAAAAATTGAAGTTTAGGTTTTAGATATATAACCACAAAGGAAATGAGTGGTATTTATGTGTTCATGAATACCCTACCAAAGCAACTGAACCATGGTTATCATGATACCTTATTTTGAGGGCTAGAAATGATATGTTTGCTATTTATGATGGTTGATGACATCTTCAACAACTACTAAGACTTTATGGAGAATAATGACAAATTATAGTATTTTGTATGGACGTGCTGATGATTCAGTTATCTTTATATGGTTTGTTCTTTAGAATTTCATGATTTCGAGCTTATAGCATGTGAGACATATTCGACAGAAATGGTATAGCTAAATAAGGAAATGTGAACTGTTGTTGTTTATAAGCAGTCCCTCTCTCTCATATGCATAAAAAGATGTATTTTATAAGGTTGGGTTTGGTACACTGTAAATACATGAGAATTGTAAAAGATACGTATGTAAATGCCACAAAAAAGAAACTTATATATATATATATATATATATATATATATA